ATTGTCTCAGCTATAACATACTCAAAGTTGGAAGACGATCGACCAAGGATAAGCGAGATACGCTCAAATACGTATTTTCAAAAATGACGTCATAGCTTTTATTCACTTTCTTTGAATTAGATGCCAATATGATGACGTCACAATGTCCAATCAGCCATTATGATCTATAAAATCATATTTAAAACTTATGTGCTTTTAGAATATGTAATAAAAATTGGGGGTCACCTTTCAACCTAAGGAGCTATAACTGATTAAAAATAGGTCTGATTTTAACATAATTTCACTGCATAGCGGCAAAATACACGCAAAGCTACCTATGTTTGATGCGCACGTACGGCATTGCTATTTGCCAAAAGATGAGTGAAAAGAATGCAAATTTGTGAAAACAATGTCAGGAACCCAAAATATGTAAAATAACGTAATTTCTAGCTTTTGTACGTGCTACGCACGTAAAAATTCTAGCTTCCGTACGTGCTGCGCATAAAAATGCGCACGCGTAGTGGAAAATTTCAAAAAAATTTGAAATGCTCAAAATGTCCTACAACGTGCTCTAATTTAGTCAAAAAATGATTTTGAGCATTTTGAAATTTTGACGCATGCGTGCTCGCGCGTTAATAAGCGCACGCGTAAAATTAGGGTACAGTACATTCAACATTAACCCAAAGTTATTGCTCACTTAATACGATTTCGAAATTGCAATTGGTTAGGCTGATATTTCGAAATGGCAATTGGTTAGGCTGATATGATCGATAATGTAATAACGCAAAATTGCGCGTAGTTGACGTCACGCATGACTGAGCGCGGTGAAAAGCTTACCATGACTATTCCAGACCAAGCCAAATGTTCGTTGATAACGATTGTGCGTCAACTCGTGGCATTTTTTGAGATATCGTGCGAACAAAAATGGAAGGAAAGGTAGAATAAAAAAAAAAAGAAGATCTCGTACAATAACAATAGGTGATCCGCTAACGTTAGCGGATCACCAATAAATTATTTTACTTGATAATATTTTGGCAACTTATCCAGACGTTTGAACTCAATTAACGAAGAAGGAAGTACAAGTAGAACATATAACTGATGCCATGATGGGCCAGCCTACAGTCTACTGTAGTTGGCCAGGTTACATACAAGTTGCCTCTGATAGGTTAGGACAAACAAGCTAGAACTAGGCCTAGGCCCAGGCTAGGCTAGTCTCTCAGGCTTTTGGACCTACCTTACCTGCTGTAGTCTAGCGGCCTGAAACTACACAAACAAAGGCTAGGACTAACACACAAACACGGCTAACAACAAAAACATCAAAAATTAATTTTCAAATAAATAGACAAGTATATTTTACATCTGGGTCTCTCTTTGGGATAAAGATCCACTACTATGTCACCAAGCGTTGTTTCTAGGAGAACTGCCATCACTTTTCGTCGTAGTTAAAACTTTCTCTGTGTTATCCGACTACTACAAACGGAAGCCGTTAGGCATGTCGAGCGGTTGATGAGTGTACGCTCGATTGAATTAATGAAAGTTTGGTATTTAATTGAAGAAACACAAGGTGGTATAATAATTTATTCAAATGCTATGTAATTTCAATATATATAATATTTTAATATTAAATATAAACTGCTATAATCAACTTCAAAATAAACTTCAAAATTTACTAAATCTTGTACGAATAAAGTACTCAATTTTTATAATTGGTGCGACTTCTGCTCAATGTGGTACAACGGGTTTTTTTTTTTCGTAATTTGTATATCGTAATCCAGTATTATTATTTTTTCCAGTTAATATTCGCTAAGAAATATTTTAAATGTTATTTATTTTTTTAAACTTTATTTCAATGCTCAGAATTATTTTATTTATTTATTTATCAGTTTTAAAATTCTTTTGATTGAAAAGGTTAGAAGAAATTCAAGATGTCAGCCACCAGTGAGGATTTGGATTCGACCTGTAGCTTCAGTGATTTTGATGTTATTGGCTTCGATCTTGACCATACAATTTGCAAGTATAAGCTAGACATACTTTTTCCCGTACGTTTTTCAAATAGCATGTTGAGTGAATCTGTGCATCAACACAAGGGGAGGACACCGCCGACCGTGTGCACCACCGACTGTTGTGTGTGCAGTGGTCCGTGCGTGCCGTGGTCCGTGGATGGGATCTCCCTGCCTGCTGCCTGGTCGGCGGATGTGTATATTACAGCGTTGCTAGGCATTAGGACGTTCCTTAATTATATATAGCTAAGTCTACAGTGCGCATTAGGGAACTTTTTCTGCAATGCAATGAAATTATGAACTGGCCTGCAGCAGAGCAATGCAAAAATAACCGAACAACTCCCTGCCCTGGGGGGCTGGACAAAACATTCAACCCTTTTTTTCGTGCCCACCGCCTCAGATACTGTAATTCCCAACCTGGCAAGGCGGCGCCAGAGAGTTTTCAGTAGGTATCTTGTCCCATCAAAACAAAGATGCTTCGAACCCCTGTCGCCTGACGTAATAATGAGGTCGTTTTAAAATATCAAACAAATTGCAGTTGATATTGTTCTGACGATTTTACACAAATCTGACATATTGATTGGCATAGGTTCCAACTGTCCCGCTTTCGGCGGGATTGTCCCGCTTTTGGGAGTCGTGTCCAACCCCCAAATTGTCCCGCATTTTAACTTTTATAAATAAAAAATATTAGGCCCAATAAAAAAAATTATTAGTTTATCATCCCGTCTTCTATGGTACTGGAAAAAAAAAAATTTGTTAGGAAAAAATAAAAAAAAAAATTTTGTTTATTAATTTTTTCATTTATTTTATTAAATAGTTAGTTGATATTGTTTGCATTGTCTAAATCATGTTTTACTTTGAATATCAATGCGCCAGCAACCAACACAAGGGTGATATTTGGCTTTAGCAAAAAAAAAAAAAAAAAGAAGAGGATTTAAAAAAAAAAAAAAAAAAAAGAAGAAGCCTCCCTCCCTAATCACTTTTCCTGCCCAGATAGGGTGATAAACTAATAATATTTTTTATAGGGCCTAATCATGATATTAACATCGTTAAATTCCCGGAGAATACTCTGAAACCTATTCCCTACAGACGATGAGCCGTGTTGTGGTAGAATGTGGTTAGGCTACGCAGTGTAGCTCATGAAAACGTGCCGAGCTGGGGTACTAATATCAGCGGTAGACTTCATGTGACTTTGTGACGGATTGCGAGACACGATGTGTTTATTTTTATTGTCGATATATTATACAAATCTATAAATATATATATGAATAATTAAAAAAAAAAATTCCGCTCTATTTTTCTTAATCAATTTTTTAAATTTTTGAATTCTGTATTTTTTGGTTTTAATTTTGAGTAACTGCCAATCATATATTTTTATACATTTTCTGTCCATCCTGTAACCCTGTTCTTTGCGAATGTCTCTCTTTGTCTCCCAGACATATCCTGTTATATGGACGAGTCTAGGGCTTCTCTGTCCCTTTAATATCGTGCAATGTTTTTTTTTTTTCGTTTTTTAATATGTATGTTCTCTATGTTGAATTTGAATAAAGTGATGAAAAAGAAAAATAAATATATTATTTTAGCATTATAATTGCTGCATTTCTGCCTTCATTTTTACATTGATTATTTTTTTTTTTTTCAATAGTCCAAACCTCTGATAAAGGTCACGAAAACCCCAGCCCTAAAAGTGTTCGTTAATTTGGGGAAGACCTATATATTCAGCCCCTTGGTACCACCTGTCAGACTAGTTGAACCCCTGTCAGCATATATCTGGAGCCATCATTTACCCCAACCCCCTGTCCTCAGCATAATTCCACACTCATGAAAAAATTACCCACTTCTGCTGAGCTCGTGATTATCTCTTATTGTATTTAAGGAAATGTTAAAAATAGTATCTACAAAGTAGACTGATGTCATTTGGCAGTATTAGATTATTGACATTATTTTGTATTGCCTCCGGCAAAAGAGACTACATATTCACGGCTGTCTGCCTGTCTATCAGCAAGGTTATGCAAAAACTAATGGAATGGATCATAACCCATTATACACGACCTGCATATTGTTCGTTATTCAGGCACAGGGTGGAGATATGCACTCTCTATATGGAGTGATTGCTCTAGTTATTAACTATTTTTGCTTTTTTTTTTTTTTATATATGTTGCAAAGTCTGTATTCTCAATAGTAAAGGAGTATTATGGCTTGATTTCAGCTGATTTACAAGTGTTTGGTGAAGCATTTGGTTGAGGATCTCGGCTATGATGAAGATATTGCACGGCCTTTGGAAGAAGATAAAGATTTTGTGTAAGCATCAATTTTAATTTCATATGTAATTTTTGACTGAACAAAAAGCAAAGAAAAACAACTATTTTTATGAGTTTTTGCTGCCAAGGGCGTGAGATCATGTCCAACTCTGTCCAAACACACCACTCTTGTATTGCACATAAACTCACTAGCTGTCATCGCCAGTACACTAACACTCACCCTTTAGGTTCTGAGTAGAACCCAGAAGTAATGATCTGAAAATAGATGGGAATGATTTTTTTTTTTTGGTGGCGCACTTTATGCCCCAGCATACGGTATATGATAGAACTAGGAGAAAAAGGTTTGGCAGTCCACGATAACAAAAGTATCCTAACGTTCTTGGAAAATTGATGAAGAGAGTTTTTAACCAATGTGTCTGTTTTTGTAAAAATATTTTTTAGGCTGCAAATTGAACAAAGACGACATTGCCATTACAAAATTCAAAGCTTTATTAATAATAATAGATTAACTAATTTAATTACATAATTTCTCTAGTTATGAACTACTACTTAATATTTGATTAAAATGTAGATTTTCTCATTTATTTTCTAGCTGCTGGTAGGTAGATACTGAAGTGCATTTCTAATATTAATGTATTATAATTTAAAGGGGTATATTTTTCTTTCTTCAACAGAACAAAAGGTCTGGTATGTGATGTTGAAAAAGGCAATTTTTTCAAGTTCTCAGAAGATGGGTACATCCTACGTGCAAGCCATGGTACGACACCACTCAGCGATGACGAGATTGAGGAGATATACGGGAAAGAGCGTCACTGGGCGCCGTTTAACAACTTTAAAGCCACCTTGAAGCAAAATGGTAAGTGAAATCCAGTATTACAATTATTCCAAAGTTACAATAGGAACCATTTCAGGATAGGGTTTGAAGAGCAAAGAAATGATGAGACCTTTTAATACACTGAACTGATCAAAATACTACTGTAAGTGTATGGTAATGAGACTATTACTTTTATAGGTGGAGGATTCATGCTTTTCCACATTGTTAACAATTTACTTAGGATTAAAAGATGTTTATTGAGACAAATATATATTAAATTTTCATATTACCTCTAACAACATTTTTTTAGGGCACTTAACAATAATTATGTAGGGATTTCGCAGGACTCGATTCAAGTAGGAAGAAGCCATTTTCAAAAGAATGGTTAGATCAGCACGTCTTTTATTATATTTTGCTGCACATGTTGGACATGTGCGGACTTTCGGGATAGAATTGATAATAGGCAGTTTTTGCTGCACGACGGTAACCTTAACGTTAACGGATGATGTCATAATTTATTCATCTTGCTTTGCGGAGTACGTTAATTTTAGGATTTTACGTGCTCGACGTATGTTAATTACAGGTTTGCGCATGCGTTTTTCGATTTGTTTACAAAAAGGGGCGGAGCTATCACGCTGCATGTTGGGTACTAACGGTAATGTTGTGCGGCGAAAACTACCCATTATATTATTAAAGACACGGTCTTGTGGGACATGGGTTATATGTAAATTACCAAATACTATCATCATACAGTAATATAAATAAAAAGTACTGAGTGTGTATGCAGTTCAACATCATAGGCGGTACTACAGTATTTATTGCCATCCATATCGATGCTACTGTTTATTTTGTGGTTTGGCTAGGTATTTCTTGAATCTGAACTCGGCTGTTCACCACTGAGGCGATGAAAACTGCCCACGAAACATGGCCGCCAAAGAGTCTATTTTCGTTGGTTTTTTCGCATTTTTGATCATACCTGTAACATCGTCATTACTGTAAATCCAGCCCATTTGCTCGGCTAATCCAATACATTTCCAACGTTACCCAAATTTGAAGGTTTGTTTAACCATTTTTGAGTCTATTAGTATAAGTGGACATACAGATTACATAAATTTATATGAGATATAAATTCAAATAAAAAAACACCAGCATTTTTTTCCACAACTTGTCAATATTCATCTTAACCTTGTAAAGTATTAGGCATAAGTGACAAAGAATCAAATACTGTAGGTACAACATATTGAGTAATTATTTTTTACTCCTTTTATTGTACATTACAAAATGAAATTTCATAAATTCTTAATAATACAAGATGCTGCATTTTACGATTATGATACCAATTGACACTTTGCAAATGATGATTGTAGGCTAGACCATGATTTAATATAGCGCCCTCTGACTAAAGATTGATGTAAATTTGTTACTGTACCAGTAAATGGTAGATACTTTAGTTTTTTTAACACATTGATTCTAGACAATACATGCGTACAACAGGGTGGTGCTATGGGTGCAACAATGAGTATGTTACAAATACAGTATGTTATTTTCTGGTGTCTAGGCCACAGGCTCTGGCATTCCAGAACATGCATAGTATGCTGTATTTTGCTTAACTTTCATTGTATGTAACAACTGTTTTCCATAGCTCGCTCTTTAATTTCTTGATGTTTTTTTATTTGCTTTTAAAAAATTGTAATGTCCTTTGCTTTATTAACATCTGTGACTATTCTTTTTTGTAATTTTTTTTTCCAGAATTCCAATGTTCTTTTTTCTCTGTCTCTTCTATTTTTATGTAACCTTTTTTTGATCTGTGCAATGATTTTACTGTAATTTTTTAGTCTGAACTTGAATGTTTTTTTTTTATCTTGTGCAATGTTTTTTTTTTTTGTAATTGTTTTTTCTGAATTTCAATGTTCCTTTTTTTGTCTTTTCTATTTTTATATAATGAATTTCTTGATATGTGCAATGTTATTTTTGTAATTTTTTATTTTGAATTTGAATGTTTTTATATAATGGTCTATAGTATTGTTATATAATCACTTTTTAATGTTTGTGCAATTTTTAATATTTGCCTTTTTATATTATCCAAATGATGCATTTTCATTTGTAATAAAATTGAATAAATAAATAAATAAATAAATGCAATAATCTAAAATTTAAGAATGCATGCAATTATATAAAGTTATTGTGTTGGGGGGACTTTAATTAGAGAGAGCTGACCTGTATTTACTTATAAACAATTTTGATCAATAAGCAACAACAAGGTGGAGTATGAAAAATATTAAAGAAATAATTAATAATAGAAGAACTATCAATATTTGCAGTAAAATTTACAATGTTTTAAATAATTTGTTG